AACAAACAAACAAACAAAAAACCGAAGAGAATTACATTTGAGATAGGAATGTCATTTAGTTTCATCAGCATTCTATAGATTACGAAATATAAAGCTGCCAATTATATTAATATTGATCATTTTAGTACTTGAATCATTCTCCATCTTGATAATATGTTGTTTTTACAATCATTATTTGATCAGAGTGTAAATGATCGAGTTACTCACCTCGCTTCGTGTGACTATGAGAACCAAACAGCCCAAATCATATCTCTCATTATCAGCCTATTGCTACATTCAATGCTTTATTTGTAACCTTTTTTGTTGGTTTTCCAGATATATAGAGGTYACTGGAACACACGCAATCATCATCATCCATCAGTGAGGTTCACTTATCACAAGCACTAGCTCTACAGATACACTTGTCAAGGTAAGACCAGTCAGTGTCAGTTTTCTGTTTAGTAAAACTCATTTTAGTATAAGGCCGAAATGATCAAGGAACCAAGTACACTTTCTAGTTTTGATTCCAATCTTTTCGTATCCACGTTAAGTTAATTTTGAACCAAAATGTTTTTCAAATAGTTGTTTAAATGTTTTTGAATGTTTTCCAATCTTAGAACTGAACCAATCATGAAGAAGATCCTCATCATTGGAATGGCTGTCCTACTTGTAGTTGCTCTGTTCATTGATGACAGGTTGGTTGTAACTGTTTATATTTAACTTGTAGCCGAAATTTAACTTGTTTTAAGGAGTAGAACTGGCTCTTAAGCAATGAAAACCGCTATGTTTCAAAAAAGACATATTAAGTGAAACGTACGTTTCTTTTGTTTTGTATTAACTAGTACTAACTAAATAGTCATTTATTCTTTCACGGGTTAAATCAAATTAATACTCTACCACAGTGTGGAATCAATCTAGTAGTATACATTAATAGAGTATATATATATCTATCACAACAGCGAAGGATGGCGACGAAGACGAAGACGACGAAGGAATGGAAAGAGAGACGAAATCAATGGCGAAAATGACAGCGCATTCCAGGAATTAGAACAACAACAAACACATGCAGAAGAGCAACAGGACGGAAACGACATAGACGATCTAGAAGGCCCGATTCTTGACAAACTGAGGCAACTTAGAGCTCGAGCAGATCGAGAAAGAAACCCAAATAATATACTGTAATGCAGCACAGGATAAGAAGAAAATTACTGTTATTAAATGTAAAGCATGTACTATAACGTCTAGAATCAATGAATAATAAAGATTGATATTTAGCATCCACGCTAACAGAAAGTCTTGATCTTGATCTTGATAAAAATGGATTTCAAAAAAATCATGCCTAGTGTCTATCAGTTAGCAAAGCTTTGCGAATAATGTAACGCGCACTAAATCACGGTATTTGGGCGCTGTTTTTCAATATGGCGGACGCGGGAAAACAATGGCAATCTTTCTTAAAATTCAGACCAAAAACCAATTTAAGAAAATGTGACTAGATTCAAAAACTAAAACTCGAGTACAACAAAAAGCACCGTGAAATGGCATCGCGCTTCTTCAGTTCGTCCTAACTGTACACCTAAATTGTTCTAAAATTGCGAAACACCCTAAAAAAGGGTATTGATGGGGTTTATATGACAGTCAACTGCAATTGGTCTAAAAAACATAAGTTAACGGGGGAAAATAACCTTAAATTAGTAGTTAACAGTTAACTGATATTTCATTATTTTGGTAAGACGGGTTCTGGCTGTGTTTCAGCTAATTCTGCTTGCTTTTTACACTGCTTTTCCCTTGCGGCCACTCAATAGATGAGGTAAGATTCGATCGAAATGTCGCTTCAGTATAACTGTTCCAGCCATGCAGGGATAGACGAGTATTTTACCGACGATGTCAGGACCAGGACAGAACCGACTTTGAAAATCAAAAATTCGCTTATTCATAAAAAAAATTATATTACATGTGAGAAGTTCATAACTTCTGATTACATGTGCTTGATAAAAAGTTGTTGCATCAGAACACATATAATGGTTGCTATTCTCTACTTTCACATCCGATTTTCTGTAAAATAATAATAATAATAGTAATAATAATAGTAATAATAATGTAAACTTTATTTTATTTTTTCTTACACACAACAGCAAACCTCGCTATAACCTAGGCAGTTTACAATTTTCTACTTGAATCGATTAGAAGAAAAGTTTGAATAATACATTCAAACGAACATTAAAAAGCACAACAAATTATTATAAAGAAAAGGAAAAACAAACAAACAAACAAAC